TGAGGACCACGTTCCACAGTAGAGGTGATAGTACTTCTCCCTGTGAACATCTCCTCGCAACCAAGTCTCTTATATTCATATCTTCTACACTTATGTTTACTGCTCGTTTTGAGAGCATGATTGTATGTATCCACCCACTAACCATCTGTGGAACATTCCTCTTGGTTAAAAATTGACACGCCTATAGATTATTTCAAAACACCCAGCAGATAAAAATGACGAGGTTGTCGTCGTCTTATGCCAACGTCATCGGTTCTCTCCTATTTAGGGATTATATTATTTTGGTTCCACAGCAAATAAACTTTTTAGACCGAACGTCCCAGGTTGGACTCCTAGTCAGTGCACCCATTGTTTTTTAATTCTCAACTTTTTCAATTATTCTTTGGTTTGTTATCACTTTGGGGCGGGCTATGAGGATGTAATTTTCAGAATTTCGTAGGGGGTATTGACAATTTTTCATTTTCATATTTCCAAATTTGCATTTCAGTTTTTCGGATCTTAATCAGTTTGTCTCACTTCACTTTCCTTTGATTGTATTTTCACTTTTATGGGTATCGTATTAGAAAACTTAACACTGGTGAACGAATGAAGAATCTTAGAAATTTGTTATAGTATAATCATACAGATTATCTTCTTTCTACACGATGTGGTGGTTTTAGGAAGAATTGAGAGAGCTGGGATTGGGATTGCAATTTGTGTTTAGCGCCGATTGGAGTCGGAATTGACTTCAAATCTACGAATTCTGATATTGAAGGAATGTGTATCGATAGCTTTATTGGTAAAAGCAGCGATATCTACAGTCCGGAGGTTCCAGTTTCGACTCCTGGTCGGTGCATTTATTTTTCTTTCCTTTATTTCTCAGCTTTTTCAATTTTTCTTTGGTTTGTTTTCACTTTGGAGATATAAGGATTTATTTTTCATAATTTCTTAGGGGTAATTGTTTTTCAGATCCTTATTGATTTCTTTCTCCATTTTTATTTTTTATGGGTGAAAAACTTAACCAAAGAATCTAAAGATATGATGTGTATTTGTTTTTGTTTGGTTATTCTCAGTTTTCCGTTTGATTTTAGTGATTTTTTGTTGGCATTGGCTTTTGATTTCTGTCTATAGTTATTTGCAAAATTGTGATGTTTTGTTTTTCTATTTCCTACTGTGTTTTGCAATAATTTTGGTGTTACGTTAAAAACTTCGAGAAAAACATAATTGATTCACCAAGAATCATAAAAAGACAAACGGGTACAACAACTAATTGATAATTTTTCTCTCTTTATAAATAAACTTTTATAAATTACTAGTTGGGGATGTGGTTTTCACATTATCAAAAAATTTTAATAGACAATGTTCCTAAAAATATTTTCATTTTCATTTATTTGTTTTGATGTATATAGTATATCAAAACGCGAGTTTACGTTTATTAGCAATGGTTTACATTATTTATGATGTCGAAGGAACAAAGAGTAAATTAACATATTACCATGAATTAGTCCATATTTTCAAAAGCCAAATAGAAAAATGCGAAAAAACTATGTCAATTTTCATAAAAAAAAAACATCAGAATCTCGAGAAAATGTTGTAATATTTTTCAAAAATATTCGTATGATTGAACACAGTATTACTAGACCATTCTAAGACTAAAATAAAATATTGGGTGTTTTATTTAAAAAATATACATTTTTAATATCCAGGCAGAAGCGTAACACCCTGTATATCCAAACATATTTTTAAAGTATGCCTTTTTCAAATCCATATAACTTTTATCAAAAAAAACTTTGCATATCTGTAACACAAATTGAAATATCGAGCAATTACGAACTAATGGGACACCCTGTATAATGTACCTATTTAATGCACACCTATCGTATTCTGAATTGTGTGCGGTAAAGGGCAAATATCTAGATTTTTCAAGATTCCCCATTAAACGAACATATAGAAACAGGGTAAGTATATTTTAGTCCAGAAGATCCCCGATAAAGCCATTATGGTTTATCGTTTAGGACTTTAGGATATACAGGGTGTTTCATTAAGATTTTCTGATTAAAAATAAGACGATTAAAGGAAACATGCTTAGATAAATTATTACTGGTTTCCGAAATACAGGGTATTCAAATTGAAAAGTCAAAAATTATTGATGGCTATAATTTTTTATTTCTCAGTATATTCTTAATAAAACACTCATAAGTAACACTTTCATCCCCTCTAAATTTTTCGCCACTGTCCATATACTTATTTGGGCAAACCTTTTCATTTTTTGATGTTTTTGAATTAAATCATGTTGGGAACTCGTAAAGGGATTGGTTTTCGAGATATTCACACTCAAAGGTGGACATCCATCATTTTAATTTATTATTATATATATAATTTTTTATTTCTCAGTATATTCTTAATAAAACACTCATAAGTAACACTTTCATCCCCTCTAAATTTTTCGCCACTGTCCATATACTTATTTGGGCGAACCTTTTCATTTTTTGATGTTTTTTAATTAAATCATGTTGGGAACTCGTAAAGGGATTGGTTTTCGAGATATTCACACTCAAAGGTGGACATCCATCATTTTAATTTATTATTTAATTTTGTAATTTTGGATTTCTTTATAAATTTCCAACCAGAGTACATGATTTATTTAAAATTCATGCAAAAATTCAAAATTATAGTCCAAATAAATGTTTGGAGGGTGGCGTAAAATGTAGAAGGAATGAAGGTGTTACTTACCCATGCCACTGGCAAAGTTTATTTAACTGATGTTTTTGCTGATTGGTGTATCTTATGACATCAAAAACGTTTTCAGAGTGGAATTTTATACAAAAAATCTGATGTGTCCAACACATGACTTTCCTATCTAGTTATTACATGCTTTTTCCGATTATTTTGTACAACCTATTGCAGCACCTCCATAAATGTTTAGAGGATAAAATAAATATATACATTTTCCACATACATCTACCTCGAAACATTTTTCTATAGATATTCATTGAAAATGAAAATACTGAAAAATTTAAATTTAGCACTTTTCCTACAATTTTTCCATTACGGTCCATTTTAGAAAAATAATATATAAACAAAAATTATAGAGATCGATATCGCAAACAACTTTATTTCAACAATTTTCATAAAAATCAGAATTTTGCACATTTTGTCAAATTTCTCGAATACGGACCATTTCAGGAAATTTTGACATAAGGCAAAAATTATAGATAATAATATTAGAAATAACTTTTATTTGAACAATTTTTTTCTCCAAACATAAATAACAGATATATTCCATAAAATATAAAAACGGCCCCCCATAAAGTACCCCCCAAATGTACCGACTTTGTCCAAAATCTAATCATTTCATTTGAGGCCGAAATAAAACTTAAGTTTAAAATTTAATCTTTTTTCTTCATCGGTTTTTGAGTTTTCTTCAAATTTCGAAATTTACAGATTTTCTCAAATATCTCGAATACGGTCCATTTTAGAGAAATTATGTAAAGGATAAAAATAATAGAAAATTATATTACAAACAACTTTTATTTGAACAATTTTTGTAAAAAAATATTTTTTTACATTTTGTCAAATTTCTCGAATACGGACCATTTTAGGAAAATTTTGTATATAACAAAAATTTTAGATAGCAATATAAGAAGTAACTTTTATTTGAAGAATTTTCTTCCACAAACGTAAATAACATATATTCCATAAAATATAAAAATAACCAACTATAAAGTACCCCCCAGATGTTCCGACACTGCCCAAAATCTAATCAGCACATTGGACGCTGGAACAAAGCTCAGGTTTAAAATTTGGTGTTTTTATGTGTATCGGTTCATGAGTTATGCGACACACAGACACACACACACATACACACAGACACACAGACACACATACAGACATCATCGCGAAAATAGTCAAAACGGATTCAGGGGACCTCAAAACGTAAAAATCCATCGAAAACTCGAGGTCGATAAAAATCATGATTCCTATACTTTCCTTATATCTGTATACAGATAGGAAAGTAAAAGTCAAAATTACAAAATTAAAAATAAATCAAAATGAAGAATATCCACCTTTGAGAGAGAATATCTCGAAAACCAATCACTTTATGAGTTCCCAAAAAGAGTTCATAATTTACTTAAAAAACAACAAAAAATCTAAGTTTTTGGACAGTGACGTAGAATTTATAGGGGATGAAAGTATTAATTATCCGTGTTGTACGTTACTGGTAAAGTTTATTTTGTTTTACTGATAAGTGTATCTTATGAAACCAACAATTTTTACCGAATTTAGTAAAATTATACTGATAAATTAAAAAATTATGGCCATTAATAATTTTTGAATTTTTAACTTTAACACCTTGTATTTCGGAAACCAGCAATATTTTATGCAAGGATGTTTGGTTTAATCGTCTTAATTTAAATCAGAGAATTTTCCGTTGTTCTGTATCTTAATGAAACACCCTGTATAAAGTTATTTTAAATTTGCTTGCCACGTGCGTGGAAAATCCTAGTCTCTGGACGCATAATAAATTATACTAGTCTTTGTTTGCTGTTTTTCCTTGACTATAACCCAATGCTTGTATCATTAAACGTAAATTATTAATAAGTAACGATGAAAAATTGGATTTTTGGAAAATCAATCTTAAGAACAATGCCAAACTTCGAGAGAATGACTTGGACATTTTTGTAGATGCACCTATTTGGGTGTTAAAGTTCATCATCGAGTCACAAAACGAAATCCATTAGCAAAATAGGTAGGATGTTCAATTTGTAAATGTCTACAAATAAACTCTAATGTCCGTGATCTAAGAAAAATGCAATCGGAATCCTCATCCTCATGACAAGAACAATAAAAGAAATTGTTAGTGTGTTTCTGACCTTGCCCAACCTCCGTGTGATCTGATTCGCCGATGCGTTGATTTGAAAAAATCGAAATTAAATGTAAGCCCATCCTTAAATAATTTCGGAAGATGGCTTGGTATAAAATGGTGATGGTCAATATCATTTACCATCATTTGATCATCACTTCTATTGTGCTATAGTAGTAGTAGTTTGGTGTTTTTGGGGTGTTAGTTTAGAAAATTAAAATGAAGGTAAGAATTTTTTCTAATATTTTTGATTCAAGCTGTCATCAGGGGCGCATATACGGGGGGAGAGGTAATGAGAGTAATTACCACCCAAGAATTTTTAAATCTAACTTTTTATAGACACTAAAAATGACTTATTATCAATTAAAGTCTTAAATACATATTATCACTACCCCCCAGAATTAAACTCTGGATGCGCCGCTGGCTGTCATTCGTAAATTAAATACTTATATTATAACCCTAGTTTTAGAATTCAGAAATATCACTGGCATTTTTAAATATGCTTCTTGAAATTACATTTTCAAACAATAAAAAATTTTAACGCTTCCTGTATACGAGGTGCCAATTTCAAAATTGTGAATTGGCTATAGCTCTAATGGTTGAAATTTGTTTTAAAAAAACACAAAAATAACTTTTCAAAAAATAAAAATGTATTGGAGGATGGATGGCTCATTCGCAAAGTCTCTGCCTGCGGATGGAAGGGTCCCGGATTCGAATCCCACCTTTGGCCGGGATTTTTCATTTAATTTAATTATTTTAAATTAATTCTGATACCTTGGTAGGATTTCCCACTCGACCATTTACTGTTAAGTTCTAATTAACAGTGTTGTTCCTAAAGCGGCGCTGGAAAACAGTAACCAAGCCTACATAGAACACGAAACGAAATATCCAGAGTAGTTGAAGCCGATGACACACAAAAAATGTTTCATCACATGATTGTGGTAGCAATTTGATATTTTGGAGTTGGGGTAGTTATTCCGCTTAGGAGACAATTGAGAAAACTGCTGCACTAAACTGCTTTCGAAACATGTTTTGTGTTTTCTAAAACAAAATTCAATCTTCAGGGCTATAACAATCCAAAGTTTTAAAATTAACACCTTGTATATAGGGTTAGAAGTCATAAAATGAACAACTTTTTCCAATAATGTTTTCAAAAAATCTCAAAAATAAAAAACTTACATTAATATATTCAACAATGTATCCAATACGATCCTGTCTAAGCAGTTGACCCATTCACAAAACTGAACTATGCAGTGGAAATCTTCAAGTTGTAGTGCTTAAAAGGGATTACAATAATTAATTTTCACGCAGTAACATCCACACTTTTCTTTAACTTATCTCACCTGATCTGCAATCACCCGCGTACTTGTTGTTATATCTTCCTGAATAACATTTAAAATGTGTTTTTTCTACACCCTTATCTACGCACAGAATACAACACGAAAAAGTATATTACCTTCAACTGAACGAATATATTTCATATCCATTCCAGGTAGTAAGAACACTGCAAAAAAATAAAATCCACCAATCACTTCATATTTTGATCAACCTGCTATTATTTTTAAAATTTTAAATAAGTGACAATTCTGTCAAACTAATTGTCATTATATTTTTTAGTTATTGAGATTAAACATACATTAAAATAGGTTTCCTTGTGTAGAATCGATAAATAATAGCATTTCTTTTTATATTTCGTCTATAATTATAAATAATTTGTTAATTTAAATAAAACTATATGAAGTCAATATAATTACGAATATTAAAGCAACAAAAATAAAAGACTAGGTGGTCTTGTGGTCAGCGTTCTGGCCTACCACGTGGGTGACTGGAGTTCGATTCTCGGATGGGGAAAAAATAAAAAGAACTTTTTTCTTTTTCGAGTATTTTATTTTAAAAATTATTACAAGTCATAAATTATTTTATAATTAGTTATTTTGTCCTAATAACCAAAAATAATTTTTGTATTTCTAAATTTTCGTTAGTGGGTCGTAGAATAAATACACTGTACAACTCGAGTGGATCGTCCACATCGCAGTCAGACAATTGAGCACTCCGCCTACGGCGTGGCGCTCAAATTTCGTCTTCGTGCAATATGGTCATCATATCCACTCTTGTTGCACAAACTACTATTTTTAAATGCACTTTCAATTTACCATACTGAACAAATTAAATTAATTCAACTTTATATAAACACACTACTGAAATCACAGACGACTGAATTATAATAACCCGTACACAAGAAATCGTAATTTTTAATAAAAACTAAAAAAATAAAATAAGAACATAAACAACCTTTTTAATTAGCTTAACTTTTCTTACACAAGTCCAGGCCTCGGTTAAGACTTTTTATGTTGTATCTATATTATTTTTGAGTTTCGTTTAAAGCTTTTTTACATATCACTCTATAACAATCACTCAATTTTAATCTTTACCACTTATAAAGTACTGCCGTTTAGAGATCACTGGAGGCCGAAGAATTAATTGTTAAAGTTGAAAATGGTATGTCCCTTATGTCCCGTGTCGTGTACCAATAAATTCAGAAAATTTAAATTGTGTTGCCAAATGTCTGCCTGACGAATTCTAGAAATTTGCTTCTATGTAGTTTGTTGTATAATATATACACCGCATCGAACGTGGTGTAAAGGATAGATCGTCTGCTATTGAACCAAGAGATATACGTCCAATTCTCGATACCCTATATACATTTTTTTTGTTAATTTTTTTTAAAGTTTAATTTTATCATAATATTGATATTTTGACTCATCATCGATCAGGTAAATTAGTTGGCACTAGACCGCATACGTCAGTTAAATTAGTTTAGATTAAAAAAAAATATTACATTATGTAAAGTGTTAATATTCAAAATCAGTAAAGAAACACTTGTCTTTATCCAACCATTTGACATGGAACTGCACAAACACAAATTACTAGGACTCATCAGGCGATGTATTTTAAAATATTCGAATTGAAAGGTTTGACTGTAAACATTTTAAATTTGTAGATACCTATTAATATTTTAAAAAACATGGATTTTTCTCATTGATCTGACTGAATTATGTATTAAAATTATGTGTTGCCAATGTTATTACATTCTCAATCTTAGTTGTAATGATGAATTTTACAAATGCGGGTGTTTTAGAATTTAATATTAAGTGATTTCGTTTTAGAGAAAATTGTTATAAAGAAAATTCAATTTCTTTGAAAGTTTATCGAAATAATTCACATAAAAAGCCACTGATACATCATAATATGCATATAAAATAATGCAATATGCGTTAATATAATGGTAAATCGGTAATAATATAGGAAATATTAATGGTCTCAATACGGATTCCTGTGGAATTCCCATATCTACATTACCTTTATTTAAACGAGCTTCATTCATCTTGACATTTGACATTTTTCTGTGTCTTAAATATGATATTAACCCACGTAACACATTTTCGAATAAAATATCGAAAGGGACTGCAACGTAAAAATTTCATCACTAAATTCGGACCCCTTCTAGTGACAGTACAGTAACAATCTCCAACTTTTTAAATTGGAAATAGAGGCGTGTAATACCTCATTTGAAAGGTCTTTTCATTCTCTATTTAAAATTGCTGTAGTTTTCAAATTTATTTTAAAATTAACTGTAAAATATATTTATTTATTTAGTTGACAAAATTATCCACAAAAATTTAATAGCGTATCCATTTTAAACAGTATCAACTAGTTATTAAGTTTGACAGCATTTTTGAATAGAGAATGAAAAGACCTTTTAAATAAAGTATCACAAGCTTCTACTTCCAATTAAAAACTTTGAGGATTGCAACTGTCACTTACATGAGTTTGAATTCAAGGATGTCCATTTCGGAATTTAAAATTGACGTGTGTCAGTATTTTTGCTCTGTTGATTTACTTGTTTGTCTTTTTTTTGCAGATCCTCTTAGCATTGGCATTCCTAAAAATCGCAACCTGCACCGTTAATCACGGCAACTATCTTCCACCATCGAATAGAGGAGGCTTCTCAGGTTCATCCTTTTCAGGATCATCATCTTTCACAGGGGGCCAATCAAGCGGTTACTCTGGTTCTTTCTCAGGTAAATAACTATAATTAATTTTGATATCTCTAGATGATTCTGAAATATTTGAGGTAATTATAATTCTTAATATTTAAACTACAAAATATTTCAACATTCCACTTCCTCAAACTCTTCTGATGTTCCTGTTTTTCTTCCCAATTCCTTCTGTTTTTAAATCATACTCTTTGTGGTTAAACTTCTCCTTATTCACCAAGCAACTGTACGCCCCTTTAAATTTATTTTAGGTTCTGGTTCTGGTCAACAAATACCAATCCTGCGACTAGACGCCATCAATGAAGGCGATGGATCATACCAGTACAACTACGAAACTGGCAATGGTATTTCAGCTCAAGAACAAGGCGACACCAGAGGTGATGGAACAAGAGCACAAGGAGGATATTCTTACACCGCTCCAGATGGTCAACAGATTCGTATCCAATACACCGCTGATGAGAATGGTTTCCATCCTCAAGGTAAGGATTTCTTGAAAATTTAATTCATATTTCTTCAAGTCTTATAACCTTGGTAACTTGGTACCTTGGTAACTACAACTTTTAAATCTGCATAGACTAGAAATTGATTTTAACTTGGCTCCATAAATAGTAACACTGTTCAACTTATCTGGTACCGTGTACCTTTCAAGTTTCTTGGATTTGCCTTTAAATTTGAAGGTTTTTTAGGATAATGCATATTTATAACTGTATTCGTAGGCATTCCAAAGATGTTTTCTTTTCTACTTGCTAATGTACCATTATGCAATCGGTGTTCTCTTTATTATTAAGTGTTAGAATTCTTGTAAAATGATATACAGTGAAAATAGAGCTAATATTTGGACATTAGATCTAGACCTGGCTAACAACGTAATTTGAGACCTTTATCTTCTTAATTTATTATACTAAGGTTCCCAAACGGTGCAAGAGCTTCTCTTGTGCTTTACGTGAGAAGATTATTAATTGTCAATGGTATCTAAAACTTTCAATTCTATATAGACTATAATTTGTTTCCAATTCTGCTCTATATATTCCAATATTGGTTTTTGAAGCATTGTTCAACCTACCTAGTATGGTTATCTTTTAGGTTTCTTGGATTTGCCTTTAAATATCAAGATTCCTTTTAAGATTAGACGTAGTTATAACCAGGCATTCCAAAAATGGTAGGTATCCTCTTTCGTCAACAACTTAGTAGGCGCTAGACTTCTTGTAAAATAATATAGAGTAAAACTAGAGCTAATATTTATCTATTTGGACATTGGGCCTAGGCCTCGATCAATATGTTTTTAATTGGCTGCCCACCATGTTTGGTTTTCTTCCTCTTTAATTCTTCTAAGGTTCCCAGATAATTTAAGATGCTTCTCTGGTACTCTTAATTTTTTCACGAAATAGAGCCTTTCATCTATGAGTTTTGCATACCCATTTATTGTAATGATTAGTTCACTGTCCTCTTTTGATTTACTTCTCTAAGTTGTGCGTTTTTGTTTTTCAAATATACTCTTATTTCTTCCATTTTTGCTATCTCTATGTTTCTTCAATATCTACCAATTTTATTTGGCTTTTTTATAGCTTGGTATATTTTGTATCGATATTTTTCTGTTTACCTATATATCTTGTCCTTTGATGCTTTCAAATATTCTCAACCCTTTTTATTAGCTAATTATATCAGCTGCGCTCATTGCAAGTCTTAACACTGTCTTGGCATCACTGTCGTCTTGTAGTAACTCACTATTGTCTTGAAGTCAATCACTGTTGTCTTTTAGTTACTGTAGCCACTATCTTTTTCTTGTAAATATTGTCTTTTAAAGATTGTCTTGCAAAGATTGCCATGTAAACACAGCACTGTGTTGTAGTCACTTATCTGTATTTAGAGTTTTTGTATTTATCTCTGGTCACCTGCATCATTCATAGATGTAGGTTCTCACAGATCTACTTCTTTTGCTTTCCAAATTTGGTTCATAACAGTCTCTTTCCGTAGACTTCGTAGACTTCTAATCAATTTTTATAACTTTTAATTCTTCAAGGTGCTCATTTACCAACCCCACCTCCAATCCCAGAAGCCATATTGAAATCTCTGCAGCAAAATTTGGCCGATGAAGCTAGAGGAGTAGTCGATGATGGATCATATCAGGATAACCAAGGTTCAAGTCGTTTCGGTGGTTCAAGTCATTTCGGAGGTTCCAGTCAGTTTGGAGGTTCCCGTCAACATGGAGGTTCCAGTCAGTTTGGAGGTTCCAGTCAGTTTGGAGGTTCCGGTCAGTTTGGAAGTTCCAGTCATTTTGGAGGTTCCAGTTTCAGTAAAGGAGGTCAAGGTGGAGGATACCAATATTGAAATTACTGATTAATAATTGTGTTCAACGAATGGTGATATTACTGATATTATTTATATTTGTATAAATGTTTATTATTAATAAAATGCAATGATTTTAGAAAACAATTGTTTTTCTATTGATTGAATGCCATTTTTGCTTACATTTTTGGTCAACAAGAGAAGTTATAATTTATTTGCATTTATAAGAAAACATAACCCAAAAAATTGCTGATATGAAGGTGTAAAACAAGGTTCTAATTTAAATCCACCCTTACTCTATCTAGATCAAACGAAGTAAAAAAGGAAAACTAATTGTTTTACTCAAACACGCTTTAAAACTGGTTAAATGTTACTAAAATATATTGAAGATATATAATTATTATTTTAATTTAGATGTAACCTTATTTTGTTCGAAATACCTTGTATTAGAACGGGTATTACTCAGCAGAACAACCATATTTTTTAAGCGAGAGTAATTTCAAAGCATTCTTATTTGATTGTAATCTCTTTATTATTACTAAAATAGGTTTCTTCACTTAAGAATGCGATGGCTTGCTATTTTGAAGATGTTATGCATCGTTTGTACCTTACATATCATAAAAGGATATTTACACAAATGTTAAATTACTCGGACGGGTCATATCAGACACGATACGTTAATTGCTTATTAAGTTAATAGAGGTTTTCGAATAGGTGGAATGTACCAAAAAATTATTTTAAGTTTGGAGACTGTAATAACATATTTTAATGCATAACTATTACAATGGATTAATTTTAAAAATTAATTTAGGTATACCGTCGTTTCGGGTGACTTGGAAATATTTCTAAAATTATTCGACTTATTGACTATGAGTTTGAGGCTTGACACATATAATCAATTTTCTAAAAAGTATCACTTTTATATTAAAAAAAAGATTGTCTCTTATAGGCATTTCCGGTGATTTGAGACGTTTTTAGACGCGTTACTTACGTTAAATACTGTCGTTCGAGCCGTTTTTGACCAGTCCGATCCTGCTATAGTTTTGCTTTCTAGACACCTCCAGACGTGATGCTGATACATGTTCTAGTCTAAAGCGTCTAGAGTCTTCTAGACAGGTCTGGAAAGCTACATCTTCCATATAAATAGAACAACTTTGTCCCTTCTCTCCTTCTTATCATTTTACACCCTCTTGTTAATTCCTAGCTCTCTCAACAACTTATCGACCGAACATACATTGTATTTTTGTGCCAACAATAAGCATCCTTTTGCTATGTTGCGCTCACATCCAACATTACACACAACTCTCCTTTCTCTCCACAACATCCTCTTTTTTCTACACTCCTCTCATCCCAATAGCTTATATAACTGATTTCGGGCAGTATTTTAATTTGTTATTTTATCCCCTTCAATAACTCGAGTCAACTCTTTACCCCACCTTCCCCCCTACAATTTACGACCTTCCATTTATTAACCTGCGCTTATGATTCAACATTAATACCCTTAGTTTGGGTGTATTATACTTAAGAGCAATCCAGTCCCTTCTGACGTCACACCGCACGAATCTCACCACCTCCCTTTAAAGTATTTGAAACCTTGTTCGCTACATAAATTTGGCAATGTTGCGTGTCGTACCCAGAAGGGTCCGATTACAATTCAGGTATAATTCGTTGGCTATCGCCGCCTACTGGAGGTTAGTGGCTTGTTAATATACGAATGTAGGAATACTACTTTTAAACCAAACATCTCAAATATTTTTTATTTATTGATAGTTATAGATGATATACAGGGTGTCCCGAAATTAGACGGTCATATTTTAACAGCGTAATCTACATCCTAAAATAGTAGTAAAAGTTCATACAAACAGGTCCGAAAACTTTTCTTTTCTGAGATACAGGGTGTTAAAGGTGAAGTCCTGATCCCACACTTTTGTAAATATTTTCTAAACGTTTAAAGATAATTAGGTAAAATTTGTTACAAATACTTACCTTTTTACGCTTCATTTATTGGACTAAACGCCAGTTATTGATCATTTTCTTAGGTGGGTAAATTAGGGGGAGCTTAGGGTAAAATTGCCGTGTGTGTCTGTGTGTCTATATCCACCATAACTCATGAACCGATACACAGAAGAACACTAAATTTTAAACTTAAGTTTTATTTCGGCCTGACGTGAAATAATTAGATTTTGGACAAAGTCGGAAGATCTGGGGGGGTACTTTATGGGAGGCCGTTTTTATATTTTATTGAATATATCTGTTATTTATGTTTGGAGAAGAAAATTATTCAAATATAAGTTACTTCTAATATTATTATCTATAATTTTTGCTTTATGTCAAAATTTCCTGAAATGGTCCGTATTCGAGAAATTTGACAAAATGTGCAAAATTCTAAACTAAATTAAAAGTTGTTTGCGATATCGATCTCTATAATTTTTGTTTATACATGATTTTTCTAAAATGGACCGTAATGGAAAAATTGTAGGAAAATTGCTAAATTTAAATTTTTCAGTATTTTCGTTTTCAATGAATAACTATAGAAAAATGTTTCGAGGTAGATAGATGTATGTGGAAAATGTATATATTTAGTTTATCCTCTAAACATTTATAGATGTACTGCAATAAGTTATACAAAATAACCAGAAAAAACCTATAATAACTAGATAGGAAAGTCATGTGTTGGACACATCAGATTTTTTGACTATAAAATTTGGAAAACCAATATTTTCTGTATAATAAAGCTACATTTGTTGCATCTCGCTAGGACGCGCCATTTTCAAGAGAAAAGCATGTTACCTTATTCGAAAGTGTAAACAATAATTAGTAGGTCTGTAGAATTAGAAATTTTATTTTTTTTTTTTAACTTTGAAAAACCGGTAACTAAAGAAATTTTAGAAAATATTTCATCTGGACTTCACTTGTAACACCCTGTATCTCGAAAACGAAACGTTTTCGGACCTATGTTTATATAAACTTTTACTCCTATTTTTAACCGACTTCATAAAAGGAGGAGGGAGTTCTCAATTCGTCGCAATATTTTTTAAATTTTTTTTTATGTATGTTCAGCGATATTTCTTTAACACGATGTCCGATTTTAATGATTCTTTGTTTGTTAGAAAGGGGGTACCTCAGGGATGGTTCCATATAAATTTTTGAAGTCGGTTTTTTTAAATTTTTAATTTCTAATACTTGTTTTTTTATTTATTATAGATACAAACTAGCTACAGCATTGAATATTTTATAAATAATTGTCATATACATAAATAATTGGATAATTGCAAATAAGTAAAGTTCTTTTTAGCTAAATGATTTTAGATTTTAGTTATATTTAAATTAATAAAATCTTAAAATATTTATCCTTGTTTAGTTAATATCCATTATTGCAATTTAGATCTACAAAGACCTATCGAATTTAGGTTTTGAAATTCCACCGGAAGTTCGTTAAATATTTTAGGACCGAGGTATAAAACAGTATTAGTTACGAAAGCCAATATAATTATTATCACAGTATAACACTGATTCGTGATTCGTATCCGTGATCCGAAAAAAAGGATTCGAATCACTTGATTCGAATCCTTTTTTTTTGAAAAAGGATTCGAACATTGGATCCGTAATTCGAATCACATCTCGTGATTCGGATTCGTGATTCGAATCTATTTTTTCGAGGATTCGTCCCAGCTCTGGGTGACGGCATCTGCACGTTTTTGAATTCGTTTTTTTTTAATTTTTAATTTCTAATATTTGTAGGATGTAGATTACGCTGTTAAAATATGACCGTCTAATTTTGTATATTGGAAATTCTAAATAATAGTTATGACGTAGCGGTGTTTTTCTAATTGTAATCGGACCCTATGTATATGGATATGGAAAGTGATGAATTGGAGATAGGTAAATTGTATTTATTGTATTAAAGGAACAACAAATATAAGTACAATTAAATAAGTATATTAATATAACAATTTTTTAAAGTCTGTATTAAAAAAATTTTTTTTCACATAGATTATTAAATTAAAAAAATAACTATTAAAACACGAAATGTTAATTTTTTCTCCTTTACAACACAAAATATACAATACTGTTGAATCAAAATTTTCTCTTGGCAGCAGGTGGTTTTTGTGACGCGACAATTATGATGCTTTGCATCTCATGAATTAAAGTTAATTCTCTTTCAATCTTAAGGTGTTCATACCCCTTATAATTATCGGACAAGAATATCTCAAAATATTTAAATTTTGGCAAAATAAATTAGGCAATAATATCTATAATATGCATATATTTTAATGTTTTAATTCCTTCCAGTTTCCCAAAAAAACTAAAAGGGCTTTAATTTTGAAGTATCATAATGAAAATAAATGCATTCCTCGACAGCACTATTCTTAATATAATCCCCAAATTTAAGCCTCTAATGTCTTGTTAATGATTTCTTAAAATTCGTCAAAATTAGTGGCTAAAACGCTTCGTTAAGTGCTATCTTCTGGTGTAAACTGGTGTAAATTATTGCAAGAAACGAATAATGACAGAGTGTACGATACGATAGTTAAAAGCCCGTTACACTGTTTTCCACTCAATTTATTAAAAAAAAATAATAATAAATTAGGGTGTTAATTTTTTTTCTCTGAAGCTATTGGTTTTAGGAAAAAAATTCAGGAATAAAAAAAAATTAAATAAATCAAGGATTTCATAAAAGTTGATCTCGAAAAAAAGTTTTAATATAAAATAAAGTAAGTGTTGCTAATTTTATCCCCCTATAATGTAACAGAAATATTGAAAAAATACCCGTGGTTAGTCCTTTGCGATTACAGAATTTCAAGTTTCTAGCTTTACTGAAATTTTAGAAAAAAAATAAAAACTCAATTTTAGTCACCACTTTTTAAGGGTGATATCTCGAAAAGGGGTGGGCTGAGGAAATGTTGTTATAGAAAAGACCCATCTTAATTTCATACGAGCACTCAGTTCCTGAATTTTGTCGCATGTATTTAGAAACACCCTGTATATTACACATTTTTTTAAGCGTGAAAAATTCTTGACAATCTCTTTTTCCTAATTGGCACATGTCGTATTTTTCTAGGATTTACTAACTCTGGCAGCAAACAAATAAAATAGAAATTTGTCAGCTGTGCATTTTTGCTTTCAGAATTTTTCATTT